GGGTTCTACTCGAGCCCAATTTTAAATACCATAAAGAAAAGTATTGAACCCAGCTCGAGCTAAATGTGAAATGTATTTAATTAATGTGCAAGTGTTTTGATTTATTTAAAATGTTCCAGTCTAGCTTCCTTCGAGTTTAGTATAAACAACAGATTGGTTCTCATAACATTCTCACTGCTGTGCTGTCCCAAATGTTTGAAACCTTGGGCAGACAAGCACACACACACACACACACACTTTGGATGAGTAATCACTTCATCCAAATTGTAAATTGTTGCCTTCTTTAAAGTTATTAGTAATTCAAGATTAATTATTAAATTAAATTAGGTACATAACAATAAACAAAATAACTTTGACTTGATCATTTTGTTCACGACATTAGACCTTGTCCTCTAATCTCTACTAGAATAAGATAAGTGTGCATGTTTGGGTGTGGAACACTCCTGTAAAGTACCTAATCTTGTTATCCTTTTCATTACAGAGCTGAGGAAATGGTGTATTGCTTAGATTCGGATCCGTGCAAAGTCCAATTATGACTGACTTTAGTTATAATGTTAATTTGATTTCAACCCATAAGGAATTATTTAGATGAACTCAACATTTCACATGATGATGGATTAGTGCTCCACATTTTTCCCACTAATTTGTTGTGCAATTAGGCCAATGGTAAAGAGAGACATTGATGACCTTGTGTCCCTTTTGTTGGTACGTGGTTCCATTCTGTCTATGGCCTTGGACGGCTTCACTAAGAGTCACCCAGTTCTGACAGTCCGGCTGAGTGCAGTCACAGAGATGCTATGGCTGCTCTACATGAAATGACATTAATGGTCTGGTCTGAGAATGGACACCATTACCTGCTTCCAGAGACAATGCAGCTCCTCAGACTGAACAATACTGTCTCACGTGGGCCACTCCCCCCACCAAGCCATGAACTGAAAGAACACCTAGAAGCCTCCCGGTCACACCAGCACCAACCCTTGGGTCAGTCAGATGGGACTAACGGCTTAACTTAGGGCATTTGGTTCAGAAATATGACTCTCGTTACCGCAGAGTGGGTTGTTTTTTTAAGGCTATTCATACTGCTATGCAGAGGATGCCTGTAGGTTGGCAAGCTGTTAAAAGCCCCTACTATTTTTAAAATAGGCCTAAATGTCAGGGGCCTCTGAATGTCTAGTTCTACATGTATTCACATTATATGGACAATGTTTCCACCTGGTGAAACTGAAGGCTGCACGGTACTCAGGCTACAATACGACCATTCTGTTCTGCTCTAACAATTCAATTGATAGATTCTACATCAAAACAATTAGCTTTTATTGTTTCCAATGATAACGTCATTTTAAGAGAAGGAATGCAAACCAGTTTTCAAATGTAAGGTTTTGAATGTGTTTGACATTTCTCAGTAAAAACACCCTCAGACACCCACTATCATTTATGCTATGCTTTCAGTGATGACTCAGATGTTAAGGGGATGAAGCTTTTCCTCCCAAATCAGATATGCTTTGTTTTTCAACAAAGGTATACAGTTCCTGCATAATATATGTTTCTCACAATTGTTTGTTTTTTTGTAAGCTTCACACAGGTGATACTGAGTCTTCTCGATTAATAGATTATAAACTACACCATGCTTAAATAGACTCCTAAGTTATTATTTCATATGAGACATATGTAAGAAAAGGGAGGGAAGAGTCAATTATATTGAGTAATTGATTTTATATTGGAACATTTATTTCTCAAACCTGTTTTATGGAAGAGGAAAATATTTCTGATAAACTAATATGTTATCAAACGGTAAATGGTGAATTAATATAACATTTAGAATCATTGAGAAGGGGTGATATCCACAGGGACTAGCTCACCTTTAAATTACAATAACATTTCTCTGCTTTGGACTGATGAGTATATGATTCTTGCATGTTAAATGACTAACACAAACCTTACATTTATGCATGTGCATGTCTCAGGAAGGCTCCCAAATAATTTTGAGGGGCCTATCCTATTTTTGTATTTAAATGATAATGTGCTAATCCATTACCTTGAGTTGTCTGCACTCAGGAAAACATCCCTATCAAGTGTTAACCCAATAACTACAGTAGGACAGCTCTGAAGGCCAAGGGTCAGAGAGAGAGCTACGTGGGTCCACGCCAGCCACTGCAAGGTCCTAGTCACCAACAAAAGTAGATGACAACAAGTGATGTGTCCTAGTCACCAACAAAAGTAGATGACAACAAGTGATGTGTCCTAATCACCAACAAAAGTAGATGACAACAAGTGATGTGTCCTAATCACCAACAGAAGTAGATGACAACAAGTGATGTGTCCTAATCACCAACTTGCACCACACTTGCACTACATACACCAAAACACACTACACACAAGGTGTCACAGGCAAGTGCCAGCTGAGCGGTTCCATATGCTCTCTGGTTCCTCGTTTGTGTTACCGGTGTGCGGAGTCTGACTGTCCGTGTCACAAAATCGACCGAAGGAATACACACACACACCCCATGGAGCATTCCCACCTCGTGATGACGGCTCGCCTGGGAAAACGACAACGCAACCGTGAGCAATACAACTGGCCTGGCCCAGTGATGTGGGGTTTAGCTCGCCACAAGATTACGTTTGGTTGTGCGGCGACAAGCTCTATCAAGTTCTGGCTCCCCTCTGGATAGGTACATGCACTCTAATGGATTTGAATCTAGCAATCAGGCTTAACAACACTACTCTTTAATGTAACATTATCCATGCATAGAAAGATGTTTCAAGTACTGGATTAATTTCAGTTTTGGCCCAAAACAAATATTTATAATATTTCATATAACAATTATGTAGCATATTTGATCCTCAAATTAGAGAAGTATAATTTAAAGAAATTGATATTCTATATTCAACATTAGATAAACACAGAAGAATCCTTTCCAAGTACCATAAGTAGCTCAGGTAAGTATGGCTAATAGGAATACTTGATAGACTTAATTTGGTACAGATCAGTGGTAGCATTTACAAATGTAATAATTCAAGGTTTAAAAATGTTTAATCCTTCCTTTCCAGGTTTTTACAAAAGTCTTTGAATATTTGCCTAACTTTTCCTTTTCAGATTTTGAACAATGTACTTGACTAAAATGAATGTATTGATTTCACTAAGTGCCTTACTCTTGACTAAAGCGTATTTAAGTAAACGTAAAAGTAATTCTAAAATTGAGGACACTGCACTTTTGCAGATTACAGATTGATCAAATCACCAGTGTGAATTCTATACTCTAACTGCGAATTTTTAGCTGGATCTCTTACGATCCTGAGTTTTAAAATGCTTTTGACTAGTGATTGCCTTGAAGTAAATCTTTAAAGCGGCAAGCTGGTTTTGATTTTATAGTTTGATGAATGCAATTAACTAATGGTAAATGATCAAATATATTAGTTTAAAAACAAATATTTAGCTATTGTGCACCTGTGTTTTATGTGTGTTCATTATTATGCTTTTGACAAAAGATGATCAAACACTGATGAGAGATGATTTTTCCTATTATGATTGGCTGTATCAATCATTGTGATTGAATGTTTCAATCTTATTCCACTTTGTGATATAATTGATGTAAGGTGAGACCACACTCGAACCTGGAGACGCCTATTGAGTTAATTATTGACCAAATTATTATTAGACTAATGTTTTTAGGTTATCATAAATGATAAAAAGAGAGGACTGTTGTGGAAATAATTATCATCATCAATTATCATGCCAATTTGTAACATACAGGACAAACCTCGATGTCTGTTTACCTTCTTTAAGGACACAGGCGGCTTAGCCAATAATGTTATTGTTCCCATTCTGTGACCGGTCAATACTGGGATACAGATGGTCTGTGTTGTGGGTACACTGGGACACTTCCTTCTCTGTATTTGTGGACTCCAAGGTAAAATCTTCGAGGTCATAAGTGTCCGAGGCAAGTAGCTCTGTGTTCCCACACTGTTTAGGCTATCTCCTCAAATATGTTGTTTACTCTCTGCGAAACCAGTTAGATGGGCTGGCAAGAGAGAGGCTCTCCAGAATTGACGTGGCAACTCTACCGTGAAGTCAGAACCTCTGACTCTTGGACTTGTGATGTGAATCCTCCGGCCGTTTAACTCCAAATAAACCATCATGTGTTTGACATCAAAGCTACTGCTCTTCCCGTGTCTCCTTCCTGAGTCGGTGACTCCCACTGCATAGCTACACAGAAGTTTCCTCTACAGTTTCCACCACAGTATTTACATGGAGAAGATAAGCCCCGCCCCCTCTCCAGCACGTTCTGTTTGAATGACAGGAGTAAAGAGCTGACAGCCGCTGTGAAACTCCAGCGGTTAGAGCGATGAGAATGTCCGTTCGGCACCTCATGACGCATCTACTGAGTACCGGGCGGCTGTATATATATATATGGATGTATAATAAGAACGGCGGGAGAGTGTTGAGTACTGGCACGGTGCATGAGTACCGGAGTACCGCCAGCATGCCGGTACTGAGCAAGAAGTGCCGGTACTCCATGGGTCAGAACCAGAAGTGCCGGTACTGCGTAGCGGTGAGTACCGGCCCAATTCCAGCACTGCACCTTATAAACTTTTTATGTTGCACATGTCAGCCAACAGCTGCCTGTTTACATGTCTAGCAAACACAGCAACATTTACTCTCCATCTTGCACTGTTTTGCTCGAACATGTTGCTATACAGTTTAGCACCTAAATGCTCCATGATGTACTTACTAGTTGCTACAGATGTTTATTTGATCCATTGTTTTATAAAAATATCGATAGGCACAGCTTTAAGGGTAAAGATACGTTTGGCTATTGGAGGTAAAACGTTTTACACTTTAATGAACAAAAGCTGCCTCAAATAAACAGAAAAAGCTCCACCTACAACACAAGCAAACTTCCCAAACAAATAATCCACGCAAAAATGAACCATGGCAATTTGAATGTCAATAGATCTTGTGTAGTTTAACACAAAACCTGGAAAGTGTGAACAGATGGGGATCCTGTGTGTGTCTCTCATCTCAAATTGGAGGTTTCATCGCTGGCAGAGAGGCAGTTTGAGCGTTTTCCCCTGCTCATTACCCTGCAGAGCCTCCATCTGTCCGTCCTCCAGCCCGAGCTAATGGAGCGGTCTGCGGACGGACACACAGCCGGCTGCCAGCTGTGCTCGGTCCAGTCTGATAACACAGCACAATGTACTTCAAGTCTCTTCCCCGAAAATGGACGGATGGCATATTGTATTGCAGAGAGGATAGGTGTCTGCATGTGTAGTTTTATTTCCCATGTATGGTTATTTGTTCATTTTTGTGTTTGTCCAAATATCTGTGTGGCTTTTTCCATTGTTGACAACAGAGATAAACATGTTAAACTATAAAAGTAAACATGATAGATTGCTGCACAAAGTGCACAAAGAACATTGATACTGAAAGCACCTCTCCAAAACACTTTGAAAGATAGACAGGAAAAGAGCCGCTTAGAAATCTGCCCATGAAATATTCATGGTTACCCTGCAGGAGGTGCCAAGATATTCAGAGAGGTTTAACCTTTTTCTCCCACCACCAGCATGAATTGTGCAACATTATCACTGCATCTACGGTGTAGAAAATAATACCAGAAACACAGAGCTGCAGATTGAGACGTTACATGACTTCAAAGCTTCTCTCTATCAGTTCAGGCCAGTGCTCTTGTCAGCTCCGGTTTGATTTGTTACAGCAGGAAGATAAGTTTTCCCTCAGAGTCCTGGGAAATCGAGCAGTGACGATTGAGGCGAGGGGCAAAGAGCAGCGAGCTTATTGGAGGCAGAACCGACTGGCTGGGTATTAGTTCTCAGAGTGACCATGAAGAGTTCAGGCACTGGTCAGTAACAAAGTCTGTTCTCAGAGGTTGTCAGACTGCACCAATAATACTCATTACTGTACTGACTGTGAGTCCCAGAATAGCAATCACTGTGATGACCAGACTGCTTCGCTTGCAATTCCTCTAAACACGTATTGTGCATTAAATCTGTAATACAGTATGTACAAAGATTAAAATGGATGTGTTTCTTACCGGCAAGTCGTCAGGACTTCTCTCTGGCTGGAGGTAATGCTCATTTCCGTTCTCGATTACTGTGAAAACTGTATACAAAAATAAAGACTAAATGAAATCAAATGAATCCAAGAAGTTAGATTGAATTCTACAATAGTAGCTAGTAAAGGCTGCAATGTCTAAAAGATGATATGTTGGACACCAAAAAGACACACTAGGAATAGTTTAAAACCTTACCAGAAACATGGAAGATATTATACATTAAGTTTAATTATGAGAAATTGTGACTGTGTCTGCCTTGTGTTTTCTTCTGTGGTTCACACATTTTCAAACTATCTATTTAAAGATAGTTTATAGTTTTATTTTTCAATGAACTAAAGCACGTTCAAGAAAGCAGAGCAGTGTCATGGCCCAAAGGTGACCCTGGCTCAGAACATAATGTATTCTTTAGTAGGGTCAGGTGGTAATCTCTAAAGGAAAGGGCCAGGTAGGTACTACCTTGGTTGGCTTGAGCATTTACCTTGTCGTCCTTTCCTTCCCTGCCTAGTGAACGCTCCAGATTATAACGGGTCAGTGCCTTGACCTTCACTGCATAGACTATTGTGCAGCTTTTAAATAAAGAGCTACACACAATGCAGACCAAGAAAAAGAGAGGTCCTAATGTTTTTCTACAGGATACTCTATAGCCGGGTCAGAGTTAGGAAACACAACAAAAGGAGCAAAGAAAAGCTTATTTAATGGTTCAACGGAGGACAATTTGATGTCGCAACCTTCTCAGACTCTCTTGGTGGGTGAGCGTGTGTTTACCCTGTGTCACTGCATGGCTGTAATTCAGATGTAATCAATGTACCGCAACAGATACTCACCATCATCGCTGTGTTTTCTCGACAGCTCCTGCCTGCTGCTGTGAGCCACCACTTCCTCTGGAACATTATCCAAGTCATTGGTCTGCAGAAAGAAAAGATAAAACAGATTAGAGATAGGGAGATATATTAACAGAAGACTCTGAGGAGAAAACTAGCTAAAAATGAATCCACTTTCACTGTGTAACCCGCTAACTGCGAGAAAACTGTTTCCTAGTCCGCATTTGGAAACTATTATCATAACCCCTGTGGAGATCACATTGTCTCTGAGAGCCTACACACACACACACACACACACACACACACACACACACACACACACACACACACACACACACACACACACACACACACACACACACACACACACACACACATTCACTAACAGCTGCAGTGGACAGGACAGGATGGCCAACAGCTTTCAGATGTCATCTTACGGAGGCACGTATCCAGACATGTTAGCTTACACTAAAAAGTGATAAGCAATGAAAAACAGAGTTCCTTGTGTATTACAGAGATGAGAGGAGGCTGGAGAGTGTAGCCGTACACTACAATCATCCCGGCCATCTTCAGAGCTGTAACATGAGCCTTTGCACCCACATCTCCCTTCATCAGTGCCTGGACCAGAATGCCTTTATTGGTAGTGTTTACAGCCCTGCAGGGGCAGTATCTATTCAGACAATCAGTAACAGTATGTCTGTCGCAGTGAGAAGAAAATATATAGAAAGATACATTACCTTAACTGAACTGTATGTACATTGGGTTTTAACTTAAATAAAAATGGAAGTGTTAGTGATCTGTATTGTTTGTTTGACACCGTTAAGAAAATACACTAACATGATGAATGATCCTTTTTCTTACCGAGTTTCTTTGAGGAGACTCAGAGCCACTGGGCCTCTTGGCTTTTTGTGCCAGCGACGTGCCAAACCTCAAGGCCTCGTACACAGGGTCCACTTTGTTTCCACAGGCTTTAGAAAATAATAAGACAACATTTGAGCTAATGGCAAACATATGTTAAGCTTTCTGATTAGCTATGAGGTGCACTAAAAAACTGAAACGTTGTGTATAATGTCAACAAATGTTACATTACTGTATTGAGTTAGTTGAAACCAAACATATTAAGTTAAGGTTAGTTTATTTATATAGCACATTTCAGACACAAGACGAGCCTAATATTTTATATATTATTTCAACTCACTTTCAACTACTCTAATACAGTTATGTGAAATGTGTTACATAATATATTTAATTGATTGTTGTGATTTACAATTCTATCAAAACAAGTTGGAAAATCTTTAAAACAGCAAGTGCAAAAATGGCACCAAAAGAGTTGAGAAAAGTATTTGGTAACACTTTATATTAAGGTACACAAATTAACCATCAACTAGTTGTTAATTAGCATGCATATTAGCAGTATAATGGCTCTCTATTAGTCATTATACAACACTTATTAATGCCGTATTCTACATGACCATATTCTACAAGTAATAAGCCATTAGTTGAGAGTTTTTCCTCAATAACACTCTAATTAGTGCTTATTTATTGCAAGTAAGGAAGTTGTTGTACATGAGTTTTTGCGCTGCTTAATATGGGCGTAATAAGGCAGTAGTAGCACAAGAATAGTAATTCTCCCATAATAACACTTAACAAATATGATCTATTCTTATGGAACAAGACATGAAACTATAAGTGTTAATTGTGTCTAAATCAGTGGCGTAGCTGTGGGTGGGCCCGGGTTAGGCCCACCCACATGCACGTCTGGCCCACCCACAGCCAATCAGCGCTTCATAGCGCAGAGCCGGGAAGCCCAGAAGGAAGTGCCACAAACTGCAGTTCATCTAGTGGCCGACAGGGGATGGATGCAAAAAGGAGCAATTCCCATAGACCCCCATGTTAAAATGCCCAACTTTACAGCAGAAATAAACATGTTTTTAGCCTGGATCCAATACAACTTATTCTGGATATAGTTAGATTCCACCTTCATGACAATGGAATAGGGAGTGCATTTTTTTACCGTGAGTTTTTATAGTAAGTAAAGTAACTTTTGCCGTGAGTGAATGAGCGAGGGGGCGGGGCAGTTTACACACACGCAGCTGCTACATGCAGCAACACACGGAGGAGATGGCGGAGAGAACGCGCTCCGAGGTGTGGTTAAACTATAGCCGTGTCGATATGGACAATACTCGTTACCAAAAGTGCAATAAGAGTTTAGCATGTAAGGGCGGTAACACGAGCAATTTGTCTAAACATTTAGCAAAAGTGCTCCACATTCAGACGGAGAAATGCACCGGGTTCAACTGTCTTTCTAGTAGCTCTGTAGCCCCGTCCACGAGTAACGTTTCCACGTCAGGTGTTATGTATGCTAGCAGCAACACACGGAGCTAACTACATTATACAAACATGGGTTAATGATTAGAGGTAACTGAGTTATTTATTTTGTTAAAGTTTCAGCTATTCTGTTTACAGTTCTGTCATCACATTATTTAATACGATTTGTTAAAACATTGTTGTTTCTTTTGATGTGAAATATTGTTTATTTAATTGAAATAAAAAGCAATGTTAGTTTTGTTCACAATTTGTTTAGTTAGTTTGCCTTAATTTTTTCTCCAAAAGAACCGATAAAAGTTGAAGTGTTGAAGGACCGGATCGATAAGACAGACATACTTTATTGTCATTTCAACAAGACACAGAGTGTACTATTAAAACGAAATTTCGTTGTACTGGCTTACAGGAACAGGACAATATAAAAACTTGCTAAAATTGTACATAAATAATAGTGACGTGGTGCTGATAAAATTAAAGATAAAGTGTGCGTTTAAAATATAAAGACTTATACATATAAATAAGATAGACATAGGCCTACTATATAACAAATATGTGCTCTTTACACAGCGTAATGTAATCTTTATGTTACTGGTCTACTTGCTGTTCAGCAGTCTGATGGCATGGGGGAAAAAGCTATTGCAGAATCTGGCTGTTCTGCTCTTAATGCTGCAGAACCTCTTGCCGGAGTGCAGCAGGGAGAACAGAGCATGGTGAGGATGAGTGGGGTCTTTCAAAATGTTCTGGGCTTTTGTCAGGGAGCGTTTCTGAGCGGTGTCTCTGATGGGAGGGAGAGACACTCCGATGATCTTCTCTGCTGTCCTAACCACTCTCTGCAGAGACTTCCAGTCTTTGGCGTTGCAATCTCTCGACCAGATGGAGATGCCGCTGGTCAGCACGCTCTCTATGGTTCCTCTGTAGAACGTGGTGAGGATGGGAGGGGGAAGCTGTGCTCTTCTCAACCTGCGCAGGAAGTGTAGGTGCTGCTGTGCCTTCTTAAATAGTGATGTCGTGTGAGTGGACCAGGTCAGACTGCTTGTGATATGCACCCCCAGGAACTTGGTGCTGTCTGTAGTCTTCACTGCTGTGCCGTTGATGTGGAGTGGTGGGTGACAGTGCTTTTTGTTCCTGAAGTCGACAATGATCTCTTTTGTTTTATCGACATTCAGGATCAGGTTGTTGGTGTTACACCAGTCTGTCAGATGTTTCACCTCCTCCCTGTAGGCCTGTTCGTTGTTGTCCCTGATGAATCCCACCACTGTTGTATCGTCCGCGTACTTTATGATGTGGTTGGTACTGAACCTGGAGCATAAGCATAAGCGCTATCGATAAAAGTAGTAGTACCGTTGTGTACCCTATGTGGATGTCAGTTTTACACACATTCTGAGGCCGCAGTGCCTATGTTTTTGTTTTCACTGCTAATTTATGCTTATGTTCTATTAGTGCATTAAAAAATCATTAAAATCATTAATGAAGTTTCAGCTCAGACCCCACGCTTAATATGTCTCCCCCTGGCCCACCTACATTTCTCCAGGCCCACCCACACAATAATTCCTGGCTACGCCACTGGTCCTAACACATAGTATTTACATGATGTATGTTCTTTGCAATGTTGCAAAATAACATCTCCCGCAGGATGTGCTTGGAAGTGAAGATAAATAGATGGAATTGGCAATCATATTGTGTAGTTCGAACTCTGCAGTAAAAAGGTTCCACTTGACAGCGGGCTGATCATCCTGTCGCCACGATGCGTGGGCTCTACAAGATTCTGCTTCTTTTTCTTCTGGCATGCCAAGATCAAAACGGTAAATTGCTCTGATGACTTTTCTTCATCCTGAAAATTAGATAATAACTATAGTTTTAACTCTTTGTTATTTTATTCATATGATTACAGTACTTGGAAGTAAAATCATAAATGGGACAACTGCCGGCGATGATTTGATGAAGTATATGGTATCGGTGCAGGAAGACGATGAACACATATGTGGAGGATTCCTTGTCAGCAAACATTTTGTTGTCACCCATGGGGGGTGTAAATTGTAAGTTACTCCTCCTTTTCTATAATGTTTTGTTATTTGATGTAAAAAGCATGTTTCATTTGTTCTGTCTTGTCACAACTTTACAAAATACAACAATAACCTCTCACTGATGTCTTTTTCAGTGACAAAAAAGGAAAAGTAATGGTTGTTCTCGGCACCTACGATCTCAGCAAACCTGGCAATAAAAGAAAAGAACACATTATATCCACATGCAAACCCCCACCTGGAATTGGGACTGACATCATGCTCATTGAAGTAAGTTTATTCATCCAAGTAGTACCTTGCTTTGAAGAAAATTAAACAACTGAGTTTAATTCAGTGGGAGTAAATGTAAATAAATGGGGGGAAGCAAATAGTAATCAATATTCCTGCTTATAGTATTTGCACAGCACAACCAAAAAACGGTTGATTTACTCTAATACTGCTCGCAATAACTTTTATTTAAGTGACTCATGTGCTCCAACAAACCAATTTGTACCTGACATATGATGTAGAGCAGGGGTCACCAACCTTTTTTAGGGTGAGGGCTACTTTCAAACAATAAAACAAGTCGGGGGCTACTTTTACTCCTCTTTTTTTTGTTTTTTGCAGTGTATATATTTAGCACATTTTAACATTATTATATGCTTACCTTTAACCTTTGTGTGCTGTTTGGGTCTTTGGGACCCGTTTTCAGTGTTTACTAAAAGAACATGTATGCAATTGAATTATTTTAACCTGCTTTATTTGGGGGTGGACCTCACCTCCTCTAGGGGCGGCCTCACATCCTCCAGGGGGGACCTCACCTCCTCTAGGGGGGTCTGGGGGCATGCACCCCCGGGAAGATTCTTTTTTTAAATGTTGAAGTGAAATGCATCAATCTGGTGCACTTTGAGCACAACATGAATTTATGGATACAGCTCTCAACACTCAGATGAAAGGGAGCTGTATACTTTTCAAGAAACAAACATCTTTGGAATATGATCACAACCAATAATAAATTATTTAAACTTGTTTATTCTTATCTTGTGTTACCTAGTTAGCATTCTTTCTTTTTATTTATGCATATTTTACTAATCACTCCCCTTTTAAACTGTTTTTGTACTGTCCTATTGTACACATTGGAATGATTTCTTACTTTATCTAGCCTATATTAAATAGATAAAGGGGTGCACTCACACACACACACACACACACACACACAAACACACACACACACACACACACACACACACACACACACACACACACACACACACACACACACACACACACACAGGCTGTGTGCTCCTCCGTGGCGATGACGGCTTGCGTTAAAAAATAATAATAAACATATTTGTAATGTGGGGGGACACAAACGGGATTTTGAAAAGAGCGGGGGACATGTCCCCCCTGTCCCCAGTGGAGATTACGCCATGCGTGTGTGTGCGTCAAGTGCAATAAATAAATATGCAAGTTGCAACACACACAGTAAAACTCTGCCCCTCATGTGCTGTATAGGCTGCATGATGGGCTGTTCAATGGGGCTGATGTGTTGTGTAGATTCTGCCAGAAGGAAAATCAGCGGGGAGGTGCCACATTGCTTTTCTTCCCGACTGCAACGCTGGTCCCGCAAATCAAGCAAGAACGTGATTGGTCGATATTCATTGTGGGGGTGGGGGGAGGAGGGGTGTTAGATAGATATAGAGTTGTAGTAAGTAGATAGACTAGTTCGCTATGATTTAGGTTTCGTTTATGCATGGGGGAGATTCTTTTAATTACATTTCCTTTTTTGTTTTGTGTATTTTATACATTTTGGATTTGCTTGGCGAGCTATTTTTAGAACGTGCCCGGCGGGCGCCTCATGTTGCCCCTGCGGGCGACTGAGTGCCCGCGGGCACCGTGTTGGCTACCCCTGATGTAGAGTAAGACTGTGTTTTGAAAAACTGCTTTTTGATTTTATTCGTCTCAAGATAAATTCCAAAAAACCAGAAGATCTACCAGAAAAAAATCAACTTCAAGACCCTGACAAGGATTTAAAAGAAAAGTGCCAAGTAGCTGGATGGGCTCCAGTGGATAACAATGACATAGATCATGTTGATCAGCTCCATGTGGTGGATGTGACTGTCATCAGCCCGAAGGCTTGCAAAGTGCAGATTCCTGGACTTCGTGCCAATGCTATCTGTACAGGTGGAGAACCGACAACAGACAAGGGAGGATTTTGTAAGGTATGTTTCAGAGATACATTTGTTTCTTATTCCAAAATAAGGTATAACATCATGCATAATCTTTTTAACAAATAAAGATATTTCCTGCTCACAGAGAGATGCTGGTGGAACCCTCGTGTGCAAGGGTAAAGCTGTTGGAATTGCGACTGTCAACGACAACTGTTCCTTCCCAGGTTTACCCAACGTCTACATTAATATCTCAGAATACCGTTCCTGGATCAACCGCTGTATTGAAGCGAAGAAATGTTTGAAAGAAATTTAACAATATTTCAAAAAGCTTTGCTTCAGCACAATTGTATTGTATTTGGTAGGAAAGGATGTGTCTTAGTCACTGAGTGTTTGCTCTTTAATGCAATGGCAACATTAAAAATAGATATTTATTTATTGAGCTGCTTAGTCAGAGAAGCAGGTCAGCCAAGACACTCATACAAGGGGATTAACAGAATATTTTTTTACAGAAGAAGTGTGTTAAAAACAATGAAATAAATAAATTAACTTGCGTTTTGGTTTTAACCTAACTAACATAAATATTTTATAACAATATATATAACATGTTGATGTTCTATATAGCTCAATGAAGCTATATAACCTCAGCAAACCATAGTGAAGGTCCTATGACATCGCTAAGAAGCTATTCCAGGTTCGAAGATATGAATGCCATCCCTATAAATAAGATAATGTAATATAAAAGATTAAAAATGAAACAGTCCTACTATTGGTAAATCGAGTACATTATGGAGAATGACCATTCAGGAGAGAGAAAAGGTTGTGAATGATAGTATTTGTAATATTATATGTTATGTTATTTATTTATTTCCTATGTTCCTAAAAAAGGCAAAGGGCAGCCACTTGAAACGCTGTTTGCATACGTGTCTGGCATACAGCAGTATACCAAGACGATAAAACACGTTGTATGACACTTTACTTGAAGATATGAGTCTGGAGTCTTCTGACATCAACACTCATATCTGAGGTTGGAAACTGTGGTTACTGAGGTTCAGCTAGTTTGTCACACAAGTCAAAGAAATGTTTGATTAGGCTGTGTCACGCGAGGCACACATGAACCATGTCCTCATTAATTCATCCAAATAATGATGAATAAATATGACCATTTGATAAAAAACAAAACCAAATTCAAAATATTGCAGTATTTGTTTTCTATGGTAACGGTCTTCAACAGGGTACACGAAATGGTATTTAAGTCATTATGAGAAATGCAAAATATATTTCTAGTGTTTAGTAATCAAAACAGTGATACTTGATTCTTAAAATGGCAGTTTTATATTGACATTTACTGCAGTTTCAACAGGTGAATTTGAAAATATTTTTAACATAACTGAGGGACTCAGTTACATGTTAGAGCAGAGTGTTTCTGTCTACCATGTGTTGCATTACACTAAACCACATTATTTCTTCAATAAAGCTCTTGTTCACATACATGTGATGTAAACTAGTGAAAAGAGGAAAGATACATAATTATTTCAACAATTTGCAAGAGTTAAATCTAAGCACTAATATTAAAATAAAGTTTGTAAAAATTCTCGAGACACCACACTTTTGTTTCTGTCACTTTAATGAATATGGGTATCTGACAGTTGCATTTTACTAGTCTACAAACCAAATCAAATCAAGTTTTATTTATATAGCACATTTATAAACGATTTTTGGTCGAGCCAAAGTGCTGTACATATAATAAAAATAGCCTACAGTAGAGACACTTTACAGCAAATACAACAGCACAGATTGTTCAGAATATCAGTATGAGAAAAACGACACCCTCTATCCTTAGACCCTCACATCGTACAAGGAAAAACTTCCAGAGAAAACCCACAGTTTAAGGGAAAAATGGGAGAAACCTCAGGGAGAGCAACAGAGGAGGGATCCCTCTCCCAGGACGGACAGACGTGCAATAGATGCCGTGTGTAAATCGAAGAGATAATACATTTTACAGCATATAGACCGAATGTTAGGAAATGCATGTGTCTGTAATAAGAAGATGAATCCACGAGGATGTCAGCTACAATCCTGTGGAAGCCATCAGGGAAGCAGCATGACGAGACCCAAGGCAGGACCGCAGAGACAGGTTCAGCCACGACCCGAACGTCCACGACTTAATCAAATTGCTCATTAAAATAAAACATGCCAACATGGAGCGTCACACACACACACACACACACACACACACACACACACACACACACACACACACACACACACACACACACACACACACACACACACACACACACACACACACACACACACACACACACACACACACACACACACACACACACACACACACACACACACACACACTTCTGACAGAGGCTGCAATGTACCAGGGGTGGAACCAGGAAACGTGTATTCGTAGCTTTTTTTTCAAAATGTCCACCTTTGCTAAACAACTTTGACATTCAATTGTAATCTTGTACACTGTGACACATACAGCAGTTTTAACCCTTAAAGCGTTGTGGGCCTCAATATGGCCGTTATCTTTAACACTAAAAGTTTCTTGCATCTATTATGAAAGCCTGTTTTGAACATGCAAGTTACACGTGTTTTGTAATCCAACCATCCTTTTACGAAAAGTCAACAGACTGTTAGCAAACACACTGAAGCAATAAAGACCACAAACTAAGTAATATCTTTACTTCTCTAAAAATGACAAGACCTTTAGTGGAAGGTGTGAATTTGAGCAGAGACCATGGCAACCAGCTCCCTACTACTGCTGCTCTTCCTTTAATGGTAAGATGAGACATATAAATCAGCATTGGCTGCCAACTGAGAGCAATTTGGATAAACACAGGCGATTAATGAATTGTGATGTTGTATTTCAGGGGCTGATGGTTCTTATATTGTTGGAGGAAGAGATGCTGCCCGTCAATCTTGACCGCACATGGCCTCGCTGCAAGTCCGAGGACGCCACAACTGTGGGGGGGCCCTGGTGAGAGGGGACTTTGTGCTCACAGCAGCACATTGTGAGATACTAAGATTTTAAAAAACAGTCAGAGATGTTTCTGTTACTTTGTGTTTTTTCATATCAGGTCAATTTAGTAGAAATATAAACTTACTGGGACCTTTCATTTGTCAGACCGAAGTCATTTATTACAGCAAACATTTTTACATACATATTTGTCAAAGTAAGGCTTAGTTACAAGCAGGAAATGTTTTTGGGGGATGCACTCTTTGACAATGTTTTACTGTAGTGAAAATATGTAGTGTGTTATGTAACTTTTTCTGCATGTAAACAGTCTGCAAAGTCACAAACCCTCAAAGTACACCCTGTAGCGAGTAAAACTTTTCTAAAACACAGAAAAGATGTGTCTATGCTGCCCCAGAACGCCTCGTTGGAGATTTTTCTTTTTCCATTTTTTCTTCCGGGGCCTATTGACGTCACTAAGTCCAAATGGACCAATTGGCACACAGCTATAGAACAATAGGGACACCCCCTGTAGAGTGCAGGCTCTACAGAGGCTACTGGAGCGGACAGTGTGAGGTGGATTTCCCGCTGTGTTTCCCTGGATGCTGGATATAGACCAAGTGCCATGCCAGTGGACACCGCGGTGCTCAGGCTGAGCTCTGCGGTGTCCACTGGCATGGCACGCAGACCCCACGCAGCAGCAAGGAAACAACACCAGTAATCCACCTCACACTGTCCGCTCCTCGAGCCTCAAAGGACGGAGCAACAAGCCCCGCAAAGTCCCGCCAACACGGCACCCAGACCCCACGCAGCATTCTCATCTGTTTGTCATTACTGGTGTAATTTCCTGGTTGCTAACGCCATTGTAACACATAAACACTGATGTTCCGCTGTAACGGTGGTTGACTAATCAGAACAGAGTGGGCGAACTGACCAATCAGAGCACAGTGGGCTCATACATTTAGCAGGTTGTGTTGTTATGTATGTATGTGTTTATTTTTCTGGAAAAAAACAATAAAAATTAAATAACAAAAAAATTAAATAAAAACCCAAGCAGCTGCAATATAAAGAACACTATGTCGAATGACCAGTGTTAACCCTTCCAATAATACGTGACCTGTTTTTACACCTTTCTTATTGTGTGACTGAATCAAGCACTATCCCCTTCCTGCTTCAACTACTGAGACCATATTTAACACCCACAGTTCATCTTCCAACTCCTTTGCACGCACAACATGAAAAATATATAGTAGGACCTAATTGTTTGAATAGGTGGATAGATATGTACTGTGAGTCTTTTTTTAATGTAACCCATGTACCTTAAAAACGTATAAACCCCCAAAGTTCCTTCCTCATGTTACTTAATTTGGCATTTATTGATTTTTGATGTGTTTTATTATAAATTGAGTTTTAGCATCTACAGGGCAACATTAGTTGGACTCTTGCTTTGGTCTCTCCTACTCCTGAAGGGTAATGGCTATACTAAACATTCCACCATCTGTACCAGCTAGTTGTTAACTGTGTCTTTCTGGTGTTTGGTGATGAGCAGGTATTGTAGGCTTTGAGAAAGTGAACCAAAACGGTAGCAAAAGAACAAAACAAAGTGATGCCATAAAGCTCTGTAGAGCCGAGCGAAACTGCGTTGTGTGATAATAATCAATTTTTAACAAACAATCATAATGTTCTTACACTCAAACATATTAATTTAAACCATTGCTCAAAACATTAACATAGTACAGCTTTAAGTTGAGCATTTTCTGATTAGTTTTTTGTAAGAGAGCTTAATATGAATGGTGGACCAAGGTAAAAGTGTGCCACTCATTTGAGACACAGTGTGAATACAGCTCAGTCAGTTCAACCCAGTTGGTGGATGTTGCTGCTACTCTAACAAACCAACAGGTGGAGCTAGAGTCTCGTCGGTATCCTGCAGTGACGCTGGTTGTGTGTCATCACACAGAGACACTACAGGAAAATGGGCAGTCATTAAGTGTCTGTGAGTGTCTCCACTTCTATACTTAGGCTTCCAGAGACAATTTAAACATGCAGGCAGATGCTAAATGGAGCTGCTGAAGCCTCTGAGGTCTGACGTCTGAAGCAGTCCCTCATGGTGGACTGTGCAGATGGTCTGGTCAGATGGTCCGGCACATCAAATGGGGATAAATCATGATCAAATGAAACATCAGTTTACAGTTAAGGTTTGTTAGTAATACATATTTTACTTAATGAAGTAAAAAAACTAAGCCAAATACTCTGTTTTCACTGCATAGCCCACTGTGACACTCTTACAATGAGCTACAACTAAATATAGTGGCCAAACAATCTCTAATTATCTACTTCTTTTTGTTTTAATCACTTTTAGCCTTATCACAGTATTTAGCAGCGGAGGGAATTAGAATTGTTATAAAATTGTGAACATTTTTCTTTGAAATGTGGACTCACAATTGAACTTAACCAATACAAAAATAGACAAATATAAAACATATTACTATGACTAACACGGTTGACTTTTCGTCAATGTTGGCATGAAAGTTATTAGTTAGAATTAAACGATTTTTAATAATCTAGTCTACTGCTTCTATGAATTTGGTTCTTGCACTCTGTGAATAACTGAGTCACAATCCTGTTGTTTTCACTGACAAAGATCACCTCATAAAATATATATTTGCATGTTGCATAATTTTTTTGGGCCCACTTGAGCAAATTAGCCTTTTACCGATTCTTATTCATGGACAAGAGAGATATTTGAAGCATAACGGACATTTTTTAAATATTAGGCTTATGTTTTTATAGGGAATTCAATGTAACAACTCTTGGGTACAGAAATAAGTCATACGTGTAAGACACCACACAATTATCAGAATCCACTTTTGGTTTGTTGTGATAAAGAATATTTATTATTTTGTATGTACAGTATTTACAGGACATTCAATAAAGCCACATTTACACTGTGATGTATAACCTCTCAGAATCACCAAAAAGAGAAATAATGTAATTAAAGACAAGCCTTAAAAGATCTGTCAAATGGATCCCAAAGCATGGAAACAATTAAAAAAGGTAAACATTCGCAAATAACAAGTTTGTTTTCTAGTGGAACACAGATTTTAAATAAGGGTTCTGATTTTAACGATATATAAAAATGCATATTACCATCACCATTGAGTAATTCTGTCACAATCACAGGTACAGATCAGAACCCAATAGCACAACACAGATACAACCAGTGTTTAGCAATGTTCAGTTTATTCAGGTCAGGGACAGGCAGGGTAAAAACCAGGAAATCCAGCAGTAAGGCAAACAAATCAGAAAAGGGGAAGGCAGAACAGGGCTCAGAACCAGGTGATCCGTCAGACAGGCAACCAAATCCAAACAGGGGGCAGGCAGGAACTCGAGATCCGAATACAGGCAGGCAGGGGTCAAAACCGGGCAGGACAAGAATCTAGGCTAGAGAATAACAAACACTGGAGAGCTAGGCAGAAAAGACAAGACAATCTGGCAAAGGACAACTGATAGTGAGGTGGTATAAATACTGTGGAGTAATGAGGGAATGAGTAACAGGTGAGGGGAAGGTCTGGGGAGACCAGGTGAGGGAAGTGAGCTGATTGCAAGAGCCTGGAGGAAGGCGGGATCTGAAATGACAGGAGAGTTAAGATGAGCCAAACAAACAATATATGTGTCTAACTTGTGACAGATTCAGGAAATGCAATGAGTCAGACATTTGAAATCTGGGGAATATGAGGGCGATATTTTGAAAAGACCACTGAGCATTTCTGAAGTCTTTGATTGTGACAAATTCCTCTGAAAATACACCCTCAAATCTCTTTGTTGTGAATCACCTTCTACCTTAGGACTGTCACTGTAGTTTGGAAGTTATATCCCAGCTAGAAATGTTTGGTTCTAAAAACATTCTGAGAATGTTAACAATTCACTGTTCTAGGAATGTTTCATAGTCTAAAATAATAGCATTCTGGCAACATAAAAAAAGCTAACTTGCAGCTAAAAACGTTTTAAGAATAGTAGTGCATAATGTTCTAACAATGTTATAAAAAACATTTAAAAAAGGTTATTACCAAGCATTTTAAGAATGTTTTTAGAGAAAGTTATCCTACCTTTCAGAAGAACATTCTGGGAACCAAAATAAAACGTCCCGCTGAAAACGTTTTAAGAACAGTAGGGCATAATGTTCTAACAATGTTATCAAAAACATCTTAAGAAAGTTATCACCAAACATTTCAAGAATATGTTTAGAGAACGTTATCCTACCTTTCAGAAGAACATTCTGGGAACCAAAATAAAACGTCCCGCTGAAAACATTCCTAGAACAATGAATGGTAACATTTTCAGAATTTTTTCAGAACCAAAAGTGTCTAGCTGGGAACTCCCACATGCCACCGCAAACATGCAATATCTGTGTAGGAGCCATTTTATGGGTGTTGGTGGTGTAAAAATATCCATTACAATCTGCTTACATCTTATCATGAATTACGTGCTTGTTTGTTTTTCTATGGTGACATCAGATTTTTTAAAACATCCTTTTCAAACAAATGCAACAAGTTGTTTTTTTAAAGCGCTCTAGAAATAAATCTGACGATGACCATGACCGGGTTAATATTTGCCATCACAGGAACGTTTTATAATATAAGAATAACATTTTCAGAATGTTTCTTGGAGTATGTTCTTCATTTGTTATCATGTAACATTGAGGGAACGTTTTATAAAGAACATCTTTAATGTGTTACCCCAACAACGTCCAAAACACATCCTTAGAATGTTGCAGGCAAAACGTTCCACCTTTGTTAACATATCACATTAAAGGAACATTTTATAAAACACTTTCTGTCATCTCAGGCCTCAATAACATCCTGAAAACATTTTCAGAATGTTGCTTGGAGAATGTTCTTCATTTGTTATCATGTAACATTGAGGGAACGTTTTATAAAGAACATCTTTAATGTGTTACCCCAACAACGTCCAAAACACATCCTTAGAATGTTGCAGGCAAAACTTTCCACCTTTGTTAACATATCACATTAAAGGAACGTTTTATAAAAACACTTTCTGTCATCTCAGGCCTCAATAACATCCTCAAAACATCCTCTGAATGTTGTAGTTAAAACGTTATGTCTCAGTTAACCTTAAACCTTATAGGAACATTATTTGAAATAATAAACATCCTAAAAAGGTTCTTTCAACATCAGATTAAAACGTTTCTTTAAAACATTATTAGAACCTGTAGGTAATGTTAGCCAAAGTTGTGAGAACGTTCCCCGCTAGCTGGGCAGATGGGAGTGATGGTGAGGAGGATGAAGAGGAGGAGATGGACAACAGTGAGCCACTGGAGGACAGCGATGCCAATCTCTCAGAATCAGGTAACACTAGCTTCCTGGGTCCCTGACATTTCTAGACAAATGGATTTTAATCCAAGTTATTTTATGTTGATATTACGTTCTAGATGATGATTTGGAGGGATATGACAAGATGGTGTCAGGAAGGAGAGAGGCAGGAAGGGTGAGTTGTGTATCATTTGTCACTCTACAAAAGCATTAATCTAATCTTTTTATTTCATGTCTTCAGTGTTTTACTTTCTGCTTTGCTTCATATTTATTTTAGTGGAACAAGAGCAACGAAAAGGGCTCGACATCTCTGCACAGAGCGTGTATAGACGGTAACCTGAAGCAGGTCCAGTATCTGATGGAACAGGTGGGGAAAACAACATTTATCAAATGTGTTTTAAGTAGGGCTGCTCAATTAATCGTATTTTAATCGCAATTACGATTTTGGCTTGCAACGATTATGAAAACAACATAATCGAAATAAAATGATTATTTATTTATTTTAATTTTTAATTTTAATGTATTGGTTTTTCAGTTGAATTATACTTAAAGTTCAGGGTAATCAACTGTTAAAAACATACTGTTAACAATTTAAATAAATGGATGTTTTCAAAGTAAATGGATAATCGTTTTTAATAATCCTGATATCAATTATTGACCCAAATAATCGAGATTATGATTTTTGCCATAATCGAGCAGCCCATAGTTTTAATTGTTATTCTGCCTAATTTTCCACCAAATTATAATCTCGCCTAGGGCACCAAAATGTCTAGGGCCGGCCCTGTATACAGCAATAATGTACTGAACATAATGTGAAGTAATAAGAAATCCTTCTTGACCATACAGTACAATACCTTTTGGTTTCCATCATCCCTTCATATAGTGAAACGGGTATTAAATGTCATACCATGTGATGCTAGTTAGGTCTGAAAAAGTCTTGAATTTGCCCCTGCAGAAACCCTGTCACCGAAAGTGATTTGTATAGGCTATAGTGAAGTTACTTTACATTACCTAGCATTTAGCTGACGCTTCCAAAGCGACTTACAATAAGTGCAATAAACCATAAAGATTAAAACTAAGGACAACAACAGTGCTGACCATGGGCGTCGCCTGGGGTAGGCATCCGGGGCTTTAGCCCCGGATGTTTTTTCTTTAGCCCCGGACAAATTCTCCCTCAATAATATAATACATTAACCGTACTTTACCTAGAGGACGGCAGGATTGTAATTTCCCGTGTTCAGTGAATGCAACAGAGGCAAGACACCACCAGACCAATCAGAGAGTTGCATGGAAATAAACGTGTTTTATTGGCTGACAGGTACGTACCTCTCCTCTGTGACAGTGTTTGAACTTTAAACTTTCAGCCGCGGACGCATAGTTTCTGAAGATGGGCATTAGACATTTTTTTAAATAAAAAAGACGGCAATTCTCAAGTGGTGGCTCACTCAACAACCCCAGAGCCACCACCTGAGCCAGGTGAACAAGGTATGTAAATGTCAGTAAACTTACAAGTTATGTCAACATGTAAGCAAAGCATAAATGATAGCTACGTTGACGTTACTTTGAATCGCGCGGGTAAGCTAAACCGTTAGCAAGTAGCTATAGCTAGTAGCCAGATATATTAAATAAACACTTTGTCATTCAATCTAAATGTTGTGTTTTTTAGCGTTACCTGATGATTTCAAAGAAAGCTCTCTGGGAAATGTTGACTTACTGTCAGTGTTCGACATGAAGCTAGAAGCTACCTTACATTACACAGTTGATCCGGAGTCCTGTCAGTTAAAGTGTTTCATAGTTAGCTTAGCTAAGCATCAACCTAGCACTGAAATATATGGATGTTATGTGACAGTATTTCTGAGAAAAAGTCAGCTGAAATGGTGGCATAGTTAACACTGCTTTATGTGTCAACAGCATGTTTGAACGTATTTGCAGCAGTAAATGTGGCTGTCTGGCCACTGACGTTGCCATAACAACACCTGCATTTAAATGTGCAACCTCTTTTGTGACAGATTTTTGCAAGAAATTATAATTCTTCTGATTGATATTTCCTATTGACAGCTATTTTCTATGTGAACATTATGAGATGGACAGCCAGCTAACAAGCTTTGTATACAAATATTTCAGATCAAAGCTAATCCAGTGGGGCTCCTGAAAGGGGGAAGGGACACTATGCTCCCAAATATTAAGCCTTGACCCCCATCTTAAAATTGATATGATCAAAAAATGATCTGCATTGTTGGAGGCCTTTTTTCCTCATTATCATGTCAAATTGTACAGCTTTCCTTAGTGTTGAATGCAGAAAGATGACTATATTAGAGTATTAAGTGAAAATGACTATATTAAAGTGTTAAGTGAATATATTAAGTGAATTACTCAAACTGCATTTGTGTAGGAATGATTCTGTCCTATTGGCAGATAACTACTCTTAACAGTTATATCTACAAGAGGTTTCCAATGTAAATTTAACTATTTTCAATTGGTTAGTATTACATTTTGTGACAGTGTGGTGACACTCATTTTAATGAAGACACATTTGTGTATCTTGAAATTCATTTATTTGACAGAGCTGGAAACTGATTGACTTACATACTTGTTTGTGTTTACCTACACAGTCATCACAGATGAGCCAAACAGAGTAGAGGATGAAGAAAGGAGAACAGGAGAAAGGGACACACAAGAAGGAGATACAACAGACAAGAACGACCATGGAGACAACAATGAACAGGAACACCAGAACAGACAAGAGTCAATGGGTAACATGACTGATTTAGGGACTGCAGATACAGGGCCAAGGCAAGTGAGACATCACTGCTTTCCATCCAGCATGTTTGGCCAGCAAAAGAGATCATTTCAACCGCAAACAGCAAGAGATGAGGGATTATTATTTCCTCCTTCCATCCCTTTTTTCTGTTTAATCTGATTATTAACAACTTCTAATAATTTGACATAGTTTATGATTTAATTGGAAAATGAAGTGTTTTTAAATAATAAACCCGTTTCTGATTCTGATTCTTTGATTTCTTTTTGACATATGGGTGTTGAGAGATGTATCCATATCTCTTAATGTTGCTCTCAAAGTGCACAAGATTGATGCTTTTAACTTCAATATTTAAAAAAAAGTCTTCCTGGGGGACCCCAGAGGAGGTGAGTTCCCCCCAAAATAGCACTTTATCTCTGCTTATGTAACTCCGGTGTAGTGTCCCCTCTGCAACAGATCACTCAGAGCTGGTGATTACTTTCCTGCATTTCAATGGACAGCATATAAAAAGGACACGTGAGCTGCATTGCTTAAGAGATCTTCTCATGCTATCTCTTTTACAAAATAAGTGTCCAGTCAACAACAAAACATCAGTGATCGTATAGTGGTAGTATATTTTTCACAAGCAATGTGAAACATTAAACTTATACAAACTGGTGTACAAAACTCACATAGCTGCGTTGATCTCCTGGAGTGTCTCTACTCTTTCTTCTCCACATCTCTTGTCCACCATCAGAGATTGCAAACATTTCAGAAACAGCTAGAGGTAGGGGACAAACAACTTGTTCGCTGGGCATGTCAAAAACCTCCCTACTTTGATCAAGACTTTAGGGAGCCTTTAGCCCCTCTAGCAAAGGGACTGGAAAGCAAGCTTTGAAAATGCAGTACCATCTACATGCTGTCATGTTCCAGACACTGCTCTCAACCACTCAGGGCCTGCACACATACCTGCAGAAAGAAACAATTGACTTGGTGCAGGCAGTAGATTACAAAACAGCAATTGAGAACACACTGAAAAGTTACCGAAGTAACGAGAAAGCACATGAGGTCTATGACAAGACCAAGGCCCTGTGCAATGATCTTGATATTCCCGAAACTGTGACACAGAGGAAGAAGCGTAGAAACATGGAAGACTTTGTAGTCGAGGCATCATGTGGAGCAATGTGAAACATTAAACATAAATAAACTGGTGTATAAAACTCGCATACCTGCATTTCAATGGACAGCATCAAAGGACTCGTGAGCTGGGTTCTGGTGCTCAGATTAGCTATTGATGATCACGTTGATAAATCATATAAAACAAATAGCCAATCACACTAAAAACATGTTGCTGTGACTGTGAGCATTAAACAATTAACCATAAACTAAACAAACACAACAGTACGTTATTGTCCTTATAAAATAAAAACATACATTTTGTCCACCGAGATAATACAGGCACCTTACCCTCAAGAGATCCTCACGTGCTTTGAGAATCTCCCACAATCCATTGCCGTAACAAAGCTAATGCAGGCACACGTTTGTGACACCAGATGGCGCAATTGTGTATGTGCGTGTGGGGAGTCTTGCAGTAGAAAATTCGACTGTAGC